TATATGCAATATCATGTAATAATGTCTGAAAACAATGATCAGGATTATAAATACAACACTGTACATGTTATCATGAAAGTTCATCTGTGTTGGTAGTAATCATAGTAAATTTGATCTGTGTAGTACATATTGTGTGTTGGAATAAAGTTCAACCTTTTACTATAATGAACACTGTACATGTGTATGAAGATTTAATCACAATTATCTAATTCCCAACACAATCTATTCCATCCATTATACACTTAGTACCAGTGCTACTCTATACAGTGTGCTGTGTAGTAGATGTATGCCTTTTTGATGGACTGATTGTGAGAGTCAGGACAGCTCCATTTCGGGCCTGTGTCCAAAAAGCTTGTTGTCAATGACTGTTCAGGCCTCAGGTCTATTACACATAGGGTGAGGGATCAGAGGGGTATGTGTGTGTTGATGTGTGTGTGGAGGGTGTCACTTCTTTCACTTTGCTTTCAGTGTTTCTTCCATCATCTATCTCTAAGGCCACACCAAGCTCAGTTTTTGGTTTCTCAGACTTAAGAAACTGGAACATCAACAGTTACTGAAAAATTGAAACAAGAATCAGAACGTAAAGTCTTACTTCGTACTTTGGCGATACAAATAGATTTAAGGAGTGAAAACAGTCATGTCTATGTTTTCTTTCCATTTCCATTTTCTTTCTATTTTGGCCTCTTGCACTAGATTTTATAGAATTTAAGACAGAAAATTCATTTTATTCCACCTTTTCTAGTTTTTTCTACAAAATCCAGAAAACCCGGAAGTGACTTGCTCTGGCCTACAATTATCATGGACTGTAGGTTTAACAGAATTATGTTATCAGGGTCTAACAGTTGTCAATCCAATTTAGCTTGGTGAGGATAAGTGGGAGGGATGACTAAGCAATTCCCCGGTCAGATCTGTACACGTACGGTGCAAAAGGCAATTTCATGAAATATGTTATGAATAATAATCACTTTATCAAGGCAAAGCATCTGTAGGTACACATATTTTGAAATTGGAATTTCAAGCTGGTGTGTATCAATCACAATGTAAATGCTGGTTGTAATTGCACTTGTGCTGTGAAAAATGCAGCCAGGAGAATTCTGCACAAGTCCCAATATGAGATCATGCTGAAATCTCCAGATCATGTTAATCCTGGATCAAATCCCAAGTGCCCTGTGCAAAATCCCACTGGGGATCTTAGTGGCCCTAATGTGAGATCACAGTAAAATTCTTAGATTCTTCGTAGGATCTATCTTTCATGATATGGCCTCCTTCAGTCGGTACTGACCACGGTACTGACTATGGTATTGTCCATGGCATTGACTAGGGTACTGACCATGGTACTCACCATGGTAATGACTATGGTATTGACCATGGTTCTGACTATGGTACTGACCATGGTACTGACCATGGTACTAACCATGGTATTGACCATGGTACTGACCATGGTATTGACTATTGACTATATGACCAACATTCATGATACTTCATTCAGAAATCTTTTTTTTTTCCTTTTGTCTCTGCTGTCATATTTGGTCTGCTTTCCCTAACACTACCAAGTGATTCTACCAGTATACAATTCATTCCTCAAGCTAAACCGACATCTCGCACATATAGTCATTCCTTAGTAGTACCATGTGTCTCTACCAGCCACAATTGTAATAAACACAGAAACAAACCCACCACAACCATAGTTCTGGCAAAGCTCCGGTATACAATCACCAAAGGGGATTGACATGAGTTGATGAAATATTAATACAGAATACAGAACGATACAGTCGGAGGCCGTTGCTGGCTTATCTCAAAATCATATCTGGAAGCGGGTCGGCAGTAAGGTCATCCATCCATAAACCATGTCACATCCATCACCAGTCTGCTGGTGTGGAATGTTTTATCATGTGAAGTTCACGTTAAGTTCACCTTAATCAGCATCTGGGGTCACCAATATAGGCATGTCATTCCTTTAACAGGTCCTGGGGGGGTTTGCAAGGAGGTGATCATGATAATAAATTCAAATATCTGTCCATAAATTGCTGACGAAAATTGAAATCACAGGCAAATAGGTTAAAAAATTACAGCTTAAATCTGAATGAGTTATTGCCTGAGATATTATTGATAAATAAACCATACTTATTGTTGTTGAATTTGTTTTGCATAACCAGTAAACCGTCTTTTGACGTAACAGTACTAACACACCAGTTCTTCACAGTAGATACAGTCAGCTATGTAAGCGCCAACTGTGAATACTGTATGCATACAGGGATGGACCCCTGCTATTTTTAATAAGGAACTTAAACATGCTCGAGGTGTGGTTGTCTATTATTTTTTATAAATTGTACCGTACCAGCACATGTTTATACCTCAGGCAGAATCATCACTACCCAGTCCTGCTATCTTCTGTTCTTTACAATCCCAGCCCTGCAGTCAAACATGCACTAACTGCTAACACACAAGTGTGGGGGGATGGAGCAGAAGCAAAGAACATCAATCCTCCACACATAAGTACCCACATGCACACTGGCATAGAAACAAGCCCGGGGCCTGATACAGTGTTACCCATGATATATACACCTGGAGAGCTGGAGAAACTTTGAAGAAACACCCAAGCCAAACTTCCTGCTCAACTGTAAAAATGACCTTCAGTATACCTAATGAAATTCTCCATCTGTGAAACTGCAAGTTGTATCTTTATATGGGATCTACGATTGATTTATGCAAGCGGCAGATTGAATGTACAAGGTTTGTTTTAATTTACCCATACTGGATATAAAATATGCTTCAGAGGACAAAGAAAAATGGGAGGAAGCCACTGAACAGACACATAATTTGTTAGGATGTCATTCTGGCTATTAGTTATTGTATAATAAAGGTCTATCATGACCACTGATCAAGACGCTTGGAGAAATTCAGGTTACGGTATAGGATTCTTAATTCTTTCGTCTATTGAAAAAATAATAGGACAGCCAAAAGAAGATTCCTGACAAACAAACCAAACAGTACTAGGTAGTAGTAGAGGGCACAGTGTGTAAGTAGGTGTTCTTAATTCCTGACACATGACCGGTTTGAATGTATTACAGACAAAACAAACTGATAGAAACTGTAGCTGACAAAAATCTAACATTGAACACTGCAGACAATAGAAATGAGAGCCCACATCACAGCCTCCAGCTGCTGGCTGTAACATCTGTGGGATCAGACAATACCATCAACTATCATGCCTCAGGCAATGGGACAGGCTGTGGGGGATACAATGTATGGTGCAGTACATGCAGCTTCTTACATTTTATAAATAGTTTCTCAGGGGTGAAGTAAGAATTCTAGTTGTCTCACAATCATTCAAAAGATGGCCCTGAGAAAAAGGATTCAAAGTGGAAAGTGAAAAAAATTGAATATGATATATTGCAACAACAACAACAACAAAATCAGTACTTATCAGAACCAATTTAATACAATTATAGCTTAATGATGAATAAAATATGCTGCTACCTGTAAAGTGAAAAGGAAACAACTCCAGGTTCTAATTAAATTGAATTCAAAATGGAAAATGGAAAAAAATTGTATTTTGAATTGAATATTGTCTATTGCAATAACAACAACAAAATCAGTACTTTTGCTGCTACATGTAGAGTAAAAAAAAAACTCCATATTGTAATTCAATTCAGTCCTACATAATTGTTTACAACTAATCATTTGAGGCATGAGGATGGAGGATAATTAGTACCCAATCCACCCAGGGCCTGCACGAGCCGGCAGCATGTTTACATCTCCTCCATCACACCCTACACACATCATCACACCAGCAGGGTAAATCTCATAATGGGCTATAATTGCTCCATGGGGTATAAAGCTGTCAATGTGATCACTTTTCTGGGGCTGTGGTGTCCCTTGGGACCGTTTTTTCCCTGACAGAGAGCTCGGGGCTCCAAATACTGGGTGCAAGTTCACCCAAAATTGGAGCTACGCACCCAATTTTTTTCTGTTGGTGCACCAGTGCATCCAAATATTTTTGTAGGTTTACGTTATGTTAAGATGTTAAATGTATACTACTACACAGCATATTGTTGACATCTTAGAAAATCCTGTTTGTTATAGTACCTTTCTTTAGAAATTAAATAGTTTTTGCTGAAATTCTAATTTCATTTTATATGGTACACCTAAACAACTTCTAATTTGTGCACCCATTTTTTTTCCAGGTTGGGTACACCAGTGTTACCTATTCCCAAAAGTGAATTTCGAGCCCTGGAGCTGGGTACATACAGGCTGCTAGCTCCAGTTAGAGCACTTAGCATGGCATGGTGTTGAATGTGTTTGTCTGTCTGAATCGCCTGAGGATACAAACTGCACTCTCTGTTATCTGTCTTTTGTACTGTTCCATCTGTAACTATTTGTCATGTCTGGGACTGTTTCAGTGGGAGTGTTCTATTATTTATGTGTTGTGATAGTGCTGGTAATGTTTGAATGTATATCACTTGTTTTCTTTGTGTAACATACAGCATTGTGATAATGTAAATCATTAAATACAGGCATTACATTTTCAAAGCTCAATCAAAACAAAAACAAATTACATGTGTATACAGATTATTGTAGTGGTTGCAGCTGTAGTGAATAATTTCTAAAGGATGACCGGAAATACTTCATATAATGGCAAATGTTACACAGAATTCTATTAATTTTCATCAGAATATATAATATATTATACAGAATTCTTCGTTATCAGAATTCTTCTAACTTATTAACTGCAAATGCAAAAGAATTTGGTTTCAGACTGAAAAAGCTTCCCAGAAGAAATATTACTGAAGTCGATTTCATCCACGCAAACAATAGATCTATATATTTACACAATACAATCAAAAATACAAATGTAACGGCAAGTAGAACTTGCCTATTTGCTACCTTAAGTATCATAAGAGTTAATTTTTATGAAGTATATTGAGTAGAACAAACAAAAGACAAACAGTGAACGTGAGAAAACAAGTTTGCGAAGTCGAACCCCACCCGATCCTTACCTCGCAGTGTGTTCCCTGGAACCCCGGGGCGCACTCGCACGCCACTCCGCCGGCCCGCTCCGTACAGGTGCCGCCGTGTAGGCACGGCTCGCTCTCGCACGGCCCGGGCGTCGGCACGGGCTCTAACCCCGTCGGGAGGACCGTCGACTCTTCCTGGGCGAAAGTCTGAACCAGCACGGCGGCAAAAATCGCCAGAAAAACTACTCGTCCCATCCTGGTATAGCTCGTATTATAACGGGACACAGTCCGGACGTTCGAACAGGTGCCTGCCGCTGAGGAAAAAAACTGTCGTCTGCAACTTTTTCCCGCCTTCTTGAGCAGCAGAGTCGTGTCAACTTCGCCTCCCGTAAGGCGTTGAAGCTGTAGCGGGAATAACAGCCGCCGTTAGGGCCTTAAGCACGGGTCATCAACATAAATTCTACCGACAAACCGTGACCAATATTACACCTGACGCCATCTTGCGCACAGGGAGTTTGGGGCTGTTCAATCTGGTGGGTTCACTCCCCAATCCAAATACATTTCCTACAGAATCAAGTTTACAAAACGTCGAATAAAACGAATTCACGGTCAATGTTTCAACCAGGTATAGAATTACGATATTTGTTAAGGTATTCTTGAAGGAAAAGAAACAAGTTTGTCTCCAATCTATTCATTAATTCGACAAAACTAGGCTAGAGAACTAACAAATTCAACAGCCAGAAAGTTGATAAGTTAGTAACTAGTCATTGTTTTGGAACAAAGTTAAACAGATTTTTATAGTAAAGGGAATTTTCTTTTCTATAAATGATGCTTTACGCATCAATAAAAAAAACTCGTAAAATGAGAAAAAATGATTTGGCGATTCAAACTAACCTCCGAGATTTGGCGAGACTTCGCGAGAGTTCGCCGTTGCTATGATGTGTTTGTCATTGTTGCTAGGGCGCCATCTTGTTTTACGTGAGGTGGGAAAATAGAACTGCGACAGGTAAGAAAGGTTTAATTAACCATTTTTTTCTTGTGTTTTAGACACCATAGACGTAACTTAGACTTATATATAACATCCTGTTAATAGTTTGATCAAGGTTGATGTCAATAAAATGCTTGAAAATGCAAGAAAGGCTATTTTTTGGCATAAAAACTTACTCGAACAAAGTGGGGAGGGGGGCGGCCGAAAGTTCCAGAACAACACCGACTCCCTAGCAAAAAGATATTTGTTTTAAGACTCCGTCTATGTACGAACCACATCGTAAGCACCATATAGAGGGCCAACATACATCCACAGTCTCAGGTTTTTAGCGTTTAAAGTTCATTTCTTTGCTCTGTTAATGTTATGATGCAGTGGCCTCTATTGTCATGTTGTTGTTGTTTGTCACATGCTTTTAAAGCACGTTTGGAGTCGAATACACGTATAATGGTTAAGGTACTATCAGCCATTCAATTCAAGGCAGCCGGGTGGCAAAGTCACTTTGAAATTCTCACACATTGCACGGAACTTGACATATACAAAATATAAATACCTTGAAGCTCATTTTACTCTACCATTTGAAATGTTAGATGTTCAACCAGGTCATTGAATAATAGTAGTAGAGACCTAGGTATGAGCAGGTCTTGTGACCTGGGGAGCAGTGGTCCCCAGGTCACAAGAAAATAGATACTATAATAATTTACTAGTCTCACATAAGGTTGTATTTGCGCATATAAGGTTGAACACTCTGTAGTTTCCAAATGTTATGTCAGAAAAGATATTGTGTGCAACAGGCAAAATTCTGATGCAACGTTGACCAAAAATCCAATAAAAAAAACGAGAAAAATCGGGGTTCTGCACAGACGCAGTACGTTCTGCCGTATGCTTTACTCAGGGAATATCAATTTGTAACTATTGTTCATGTCTCACTACAGGTGCATAGATCCAAACAGTAGTAAGCAGTCATGCCAATCATTGAAGAGATCACAGAGGAAGAGGCCCAACGGCTATCCCAGAATCCTCCACAGGGGTCAGGGGTCACGCCTCCGGAGGACACCACCCCCAAGGAGACTCAGGACGACGACCTTGACGATCTGAAGAAGGTCACAGCTAAGGAGGAAGAAGATGAGGGTGTTGTCATCACCCAGGAGACCAAGAAAAAAATCCAACTCCTTATTGGTGAGAAGACGGAAGGAGGGGATGACAAGAAGGATGAAGAAAAGGATCACGACGAATCAGAGAAAGAGAAGAAGGATGATGAAGAAGGAGAGAAGGAAGGAGAGAAGGAGTCAGGAGGAGGAGATGAGGGGACGGTCCAGTATTACCTGTCGCCGGAGGAGAGGAAGAGAGAGGCTGAGGAGCGGTGGCAGAGGGAGGAGCAGGAGAGGAGGAGGAAGGAGAGGGAGGCCAGACTACCCAGGTGGGATATCTGTATTTCATCTATGTGTTCATCTCATCATCATCACCATTTACATGTATCTGCAAATAAGCAAAGAAGAGCAATGTTAAAGAATGCAACACACATATCTTCATGTACATGTATCTGCAAATAAGAGCAAAACAGCATGTTACAAAGAATGAAACTAACACACGTATCAGAAACATGAAAAAGAGTAGGACCCCTCCTAGCTATAGTGTAACTGTAAGTCAAAATCAATTTCTGCTCTAAATGTCGTAGAGAAAATGTAACCCCTCTTTCTCTTATTGGGTCAGTTAGACCTCGCTCTTAGTGAGTTGACATTGTGTTGAGCATTGATGTGTCTGACTTGTGAGAAGAGATACTGTTTCAATGGTCTAAACTTGAGTTCAATGCCTAGAGGTGACAGGCTCCAGAAAAATAGCCTGGGTGCCATCCTCTATAGTTTTCGCTGGCTCCCTTATCCCTATTGTAGCCAGCGATATTAGGGAGCCAGCAGAAACTATGGAGGATGGCATTCAGGCTAACAGAAAAAGGCCATTTTGATTGATTGATTTGCAATTAATTCTATCCCGTGTACATTTTCCTTCCTCCAGAATGACTAAGCAGTCCTTGCGACAGCTCTGTAAGCAGCACAAGTTGTACCTGACTCCTGCACTGAACGACATCCTCTACCTGCACTTCAAGGGTGAGTCAATGTACATTTCATGGGGCATCAGGACCTCAGTAAGATGTAAAAAGTACTCTGACAGTCGTGTTATCTTTATTTGTAACCTAGCGTCCACTCCTCTATAGTTTACGGCCTGGTTTGTTGTTCCAAGGGACCTTTATATTGATTCATTCATTCAGGTACATGATATATTCTGAATGTCTTCACCTCCATGTATATTTCAGGGACCTTTTGACCAGTACATACATGATAAATGTTAGTACCTAGTACTAAAACTCAAATCCATGCTTTAGTAGCAGTGTATTTACAGAAACCTTGTTAAAACTCAGGGTTAGTTATGCAGACTTTTATGTGAGAGGCCATCAAATATATGGTACAGCCAGCTACAGCCACGTGCCTGCAAAGCTGGTGTGTTTTACGCCGAAGGGCAGCTATACTGTCTGCACAATAAACTTACATCCATGCAGGCAACGGTTGTAAACATGTCACCATTTATTGCCAATCTAAGTCCCATCCAGCGTTGCAAAAATGGGCGTTAGAGAAAGCTCTTTGCATGGTTTAGGTGTGAGAGGTCAGGCAATGTGATCTAACCAGCTATCACTGCATCCAGGCAAAGCTGGTGAGATACGCCAAGGGGCGGTTACACCGGCTGAACAATAAACTTAGCTTCAGCCCAGATCAGGGGTTGTAAAAGTGACTCGTACAGAGCAAGTTTATTGCCTTAAAGTGAGAATCATTTCCCCGTGGGCCCAGCGAGGCTTCAATAAATGATCCTGACCTCAAAGCTGAGGCCAGCTCAATTTCATCTGTTGGTTCTATCTCGGATCAAGAAAAAAAATGCCGAACTCAAAAACGTGAAAACAATTTTTAAGGAAAAGTATGTACCTTGGTTTCAGGGAGAGAAATTCAATAAAGTCAGATTCAAGTTTTTCCTGCCAGCCACCTGATTTCATCTTGATAGTCACATCTTCAGGAATTTTACCCCTAACAATCAACACAAGTTTTCCATTCATGACACTTGCTCAATTTTTGTTTCTGATCGAGAACCGATGAAATGAATTGTTGCAGCCTTATCGTCTGTTTCACCAGAAAGAGACACGATCATTTCCCCCTGGTTACATTCAGCAGGACTCATATATAAACAACCTGCCCTCTGAGCTGAGCTGAGGGGCATCGTTGTCTACTTTATGTGAAGACTGATGGAAGAAAAATGTCACCCTGAAGGCTTCTGTGCTGGGAAATCTGTGCTGAATGACTGTAAATTCTGTTGACTTGATTCTGCTATCTAGTTCATGTCACACCAGTTTGATTTGATGGTTCTGTTAGAGTGTAAAGTTTTAAGTCTCTCAAAATATTATCATATTTATGTCAGCTGAACCAGACACTATGATATGAAAAGAGTGAATAAACTTAAAAGTCATTTCAAGTTATCCTTAGAGACCTCTATATCTAGATCTGTTTTCACCATGTAATGTTATCAAGTTTGTTGAAAAATCAAAGAACAAGTCAGGCTACACCAAATTATTTTCAGACATTTCTTTGGAATGCTCTCAGAAGAATTAAGACAACGAGAAAACTGTGCGGAAAACTTAAATCTCTGAAACTGCCTGATACATAAGATACAGGTGTCCCAAGATAGACTCTGTTCATTTTGGTCCTCCAGTTCAGCTTTGTCTTTTTTTAAATCCGAGATCAGACAAATTACATTGATGTAGCCTGCAGCAGTAGAAGGTGTGAGATATAAGACCAGCCTGCCATGGTTATTACAGGTGAATAATGAATGTAGAGAGATGAAGCTGTGTTGATCTCACCAGAGTACCCCCCCCCCCCGGCCAGCCTACACTGATATTAATGTCACGGTCAAGTTCGTGTTGAATTCATAAGCATCTCTGGCTGTCAGATACGTTTGGTTAGAGAAGTTGTGGATCAAAAATATCTGTTGGGATCTTAGAATAGCTGTGAGTGAATGTTAGGAAGAGTTAAGGCACAGTAAACTAAGGTAATAGTTGATTGTGAAGCTTATACCAAATTACACTTACATGTATTACGATTTTTAACATTGTTGACCGTCAGATATTCTCTGAAGTTGAAAATCACTAAGATAATCATAAGTTCATATTTCTAACCTGAAAATCTACCCTTTGTTGAGTTGGACAGGTAACTCACATACTAGTGCCTACAAGTTTCCAACAATCTCTAAAAATTGTGCAGTGATCATCCAGGACCCAGATAGGGTTATGGATTGACCTTCTTGCTGCCAAAAATTTTGTTCTCAAGCTCATAAACTCATCTGGCCAGAATTTCCTGTAACGGTTGTGATTTATCATCATGCATGTGCTGATGTAACGTTGTTTCTCATTTGTTGCCGGCTGAATTTATGGGCCCAAAATCCTGCCTTGTCTCCCCAAGGCCCCATCCAAAAGCAAACAAGATAACGTTTGGTATTGCGTAATCTGTCATCACTGATGTGGCAGGTTTTCAATGCAGAAAACTGTCAGATCTGTGTGAAAGGAATGAAAAGCAAGAAAGTAGCCTGGCCTTGAGGTTGTAGATATCACAGATAAGGTCAAGGAGATCTTCACTGGGCCACCCTAATTTATTTCCTTGGTTCTCAGAGACATCTTTTAGACAATAAAAGTTCAGCAAGATGACGACGTCAAAACAGAGGCCCTGGAATAATTTTACCAGATTGGTGAATGATTATATATAGCAAAGTTCTTAATTCATAACTAGAGCCCTGGTGAAGGTGACAGACAGTCACTGAAACATTTAGGCTATTGTGAAACAAGTGGTTCGGGGGAAAATAAAGAATGAAATGAAATGAATGTAATGAAAACACAGAGCTGGGAGGAATATGGTCCACGCAAATTTCTCACTCTAAATGTCAGCAAAACAAGGTGAAAGGTGGACTTATTGAATCGGATATACCTTGTTTTGTTGACATATTTTTTAAAATCATTTTCCAGGTTACGGTAAGATAGAGAACCTTGAGGAGTACACGGGACTGAAGTGTCTGTTCCTGGAGAGTAACGGACTCAGGAAGATCGAGAACCTGGACGCACAGACAAACCTCAGGTGTCTGTACCTGCAGCAGAACCTGCTCACTACCATAGGTAAGTACACACCTGTCACCTGTACAACTCACCTGTACAGCACACCTGTACAACACACAAACCTCAGGTGTCTGTACCTGCAGCAGAACCTGCTCACTACTATAGGTAAGTACACACCTGTTACCTGTACAACTCACCTGTACAACTCACCAACCTCAGGTATCTGTACCTGCAGCAGAACCTGCTCACTGCTATAGGTAAGTACACACCTGTTACCTGTACAACTCACCTGTACAACTCACCAACCTCAGGTGTCTGTACCTGCAGCAGAACCTGCTCACTACCATAGGTAAGTACACACCTGTCACCTGTACAACTCACCTGTACAACTCACCTGTACAACACACCTGTACAACTCACCTGTACAACTCACCTGTACAACTCACCTGTACAACACACCTGTACAACTCACCTGTACAGCACACCTGTACAACACACCTGTACAACTCACCTGTACAGCTCACCTATACAACTCACCTGTACAACTCACATGTACAACTCACCTGTACAACTCACCTGTACAACTCACCTGTACAGCACACCTGTACAACACACCTGTACAACACACCTGTACAACTCACCTGTACAGCTCACCTGTACAACTCACCTGTACAACTCACCTGTACAACTTACCTGTACAGCTCACCTGTACAACACACCTGTACAACTCACCTGTACAAATCACCTGTACAACTCACCCGTACAACTCACCTGTACAACACACCTGTACAACACACCTGTACAACTCACCTGTACAACTCACCTGTACAGCTCACCTGTACAACTCACCTGTACAACTCACCTGTACAAATCACCTGTACAACTCACCTGTACAACTCACCTGTACAACTCACCTGTACAGCTCACCTGTACAAATCACCTGTACAACTCACCTGTACAACTCACCTGTACAACACACCTGTACAACACAGCTGTACAACTCACCTGTATAACACACCTACCTGTACAACTCACCTGTACAACTCACCAACCTCAGGTGTCTGTACCTGCAGCAGAACCTGCTCACTACCTTAGGTAAGTACACCTGTACAACACACCTGTACAACTCACCTGTACAACTCACCTGTACAACACACCTGTACAACTCACCTGTACAACTCACCTGTACAACTCACCTGTACAACTCACCTGTACAACACACCTGTACAACTCACCTGTACAACACACCTGTACAACACACCTGTACAACACACCAACCTCAGGTGTCTGTACCTGCAGCAGAACCTGCTTACTGCCATAGGTAAGTACACACCTGTACAACTCACCTGTACAACTCACCTGTATAACACACCTGTACAGCACACCTGTACAACTCACCTGTACAACACACCAACATCAGGTGTCTGTACCTGCAGCAGAACCTGCTCACTGCCATAGGTAAGTTCACACCTGTAAAGCTCACCTGTAACACCTGTCTAACTCAGGCACCTGTCTAATTACTGACATGTAAAGTCCACACCTGGCCAAGGTGCACACTTCTTTCCTGTCTCATGTTGATTGTTCGGCAGAAGCTTTGAATTCAACATTTAAATTATATCAAGAAATAGTCTTTCAATCTATGATTTCAGGGTGTCTTCATAAGCATCTGTGTAGGATCAATGTATTTTTTTTAATAGAGTACACATAATAAGGATTACCCATAGAAATAATATTAATTCTATTGTCAAATAAACCTCAAATCTTCCTTTGCAGAGAACCTGGAGTGCTGCCCTCAGCTGGACTCTCTGAATGTCAGTAACAACAGCATCAGGAAGATCCAGGGGCTGGGTAAGTCTGGCAACACTTGTATGACTACACTACTTAAGTTTACAGGCTCAGAAAAATAGGAAAATGGCTGTAGAAAGCCACAACAATCTATTTCTGTAGTCCCCATGGAGAAGTAAAGCATAGATGAGCAAGATAGAAACAGAGGGCTGGGCCCTGGAAAACTCCACCTGACTTTATTTGCTCCCTGAAACTGAGTGTATGTCCAAGAACAGAGTTACCCCTGAGACTCTGTTTTCATGTTCATCCTCCGGTCCAGGGAACTGTGGTTTTCTTAGGTCTGTTTAATACACAATACAAAAATAAATCAAGCAACTGGATTAATCCTCCAAAGAGTCGGACATTTCATATAGCATCAGGGACTGATAACATCAGTGTTTCACACATATATAGCTCTTCATTCTCAGAGTCACTGATGAAAGATAATGGAAACCATCTACAAAGTAAAGTCTAACTCTTCAGAGAATTTATCCAGTTTCCTGATTTATATTGTTACAGGATCACAAAATGTTCTACCTGGTTGCCTAACCCCAATCAATGTAACCAACAGATTTGATTGCTTTAGCACTATAAGACTAAGAACCTTTAACCCCTGTTCCTTCCCCAGCGTGCCTTCCTGAGTTCACCACCCTTCAGATCGCCCACAACCGTCTTGAGACAGCGGAAGACCTGGAGCACCTGCGGGGGTGTAAGAAGCTCAGCTCCCTGGACCTGTCCCACAACAAGATCAACGACCCCAAGGTCATCGACATCCTGGCTGACATGGAGAGCCTGGTAGGTCAGGTCAGGGGTCGGGTCAAGGGTGAAGGGCAAAGGTTAGAGGTTTAAGGGTTAGAAACATAACTGTTTTATGACAGTCACTGTCTCTTGTCACGTAATTATTCCATCAAGTCATGTGACAAGAGAACTCCAAGACGAGATCTTAATCGAGTTGAAGAAGAGACAGAGTAACGTCTCAAAAGCTCCCCAGCATAGCTGAACTTTCGTTGTGTGTTTATGTATAATGTTTTGTCAAATGTTTTAAGGAAGTTACTGTATTGTTCGACCAGCATATCTACTCAGATAGCCAATGTCATTCATTCATGTTTTTTAATGCCATTGTGGCATAAGCAGAGACAGTGAAGCATATGCGGTGGAGCGGTAGGTAGGTAGGAAGCATTGGTCTTAGCATGATGTTGAAGACTCTTCAAGACATTGTCCTAACGCTTAAGACACAGAAAAAGACCAAAGTTGACCAAGTTTTTTGTTTTCTCCCTGCTCCAGAGAGTGGTGAACCTGATGGGGAATCCTGTCATCAAGAAGATCCCAAACTACAGGAAAACAACCATCGTCAGGCTGGTGGGTTCTAATTTTCTTTCTTTTTGTTCAGTTATACATAAAGAATACAACACAGGGTATTCCGTATCGCCCGAGGTATCGGCCCGACTCGCGGGAGGGCCTGGACCGAGAGCGATGCGGAATACACCGTGTTGTATTTTATCTATGTCCTACCCACCCAAGAAAACACGCCTTTCAATGCAAGATGAGCCAAAAGTTGGTGCCACTGAACCCTAAAATGCAACAACATCAATTCCAACGTCCGGATTCTGTATTTGAATTTTCGAAAGGGGCACACACGGTTAGGGCAAAACACGAATCGATTTATGGAAGCCATGGAAGCGTTCGATAACGGGTTCCGGACTGGGCCGTACCGTAAAGTACGGCCCGGTCCGGAACCCGTTATCGAACATTATCGCGGCCCGGGTATGATATAAATGTATCTATAATACTTAAAAGTACTGTTTTAAGTAACTGAAAGTCTGCATAAAGTCACCAGTCACAAAACTCAGACCTTGTCTAAGAAGACCCAACATTATTTCCCGATTACATAATTATGATTCAACGTATTTAAAAGAAACTTCTGAACATAGCAATATGATTCTTGTTTCAAATCCTTTATTGATAGCTGTTTTTCAATATTGTGATTGATTTTAAAGATGTCAGATGTGAATTAGCATATTAATACTTCAGACTCAACTATGTAAGTCTGCTTTTTGCTAATAAAGTCATTATCATTGTCTTTGTCTCCCTTCTCCAGAAACATCTGCAGTACATGGATGACAGACCAGTGTTCCCCAGGGACAGGGCCTGCGCTGAAGCATGGTGGGTCAAGAATTTGAGTGCTAGAGAATTACATCATGTACATTGACAACTGACTGTAGTGACAACTTATATTTTTCCAATTATATACTTAATTTAGGGTATAGAATTTTCTTCATACACAACCAGTAAGGTTCTCACCTGCTTACGTTTAATGATGTCTATCAGACACCTTCCTCAGAGCTTGATGATAGACATCGAAACGTAAGCAGGTGAGAACCTTACTGGTTGTGTAAGAAGAAAATTCTATACCCTAAGTATCTTCCAACCTGATGAAATTATTTACGGGTATACTTAATTTAGTATTACACAGTATGCAGACTTTACATGATTTATACTAGTACAGTCAAACCTGTACTAGCGGTCACCCCTGTATAGTGGTCACTTGGCCATAGCGGTCAGTTTTTGCCGGTCCCTTGAATTTTTCCCATTGACGTAAGCATTAAGAATTGGGTCTATAGCGGTCACCTGTTCTTGTATGTAGAGAGAGATAAAGAGACATACTTGATGTGTGATCTACGGATATACAGTACATAATGTTGTAGATGAATACATGACGATGTATGGACGAATGGATGGGTGGTTGAATAGATGATCAGGCATGTATTTAGATGTCATAAATATATGGATTAATTAATTGATTGATTAATTGATTGGTTAATTGATTGATCAATTGATTGATTGATTGATTTACAGCTAACTGTTCTGTTTGTAGGTCCCGAGGAGGGAGGGAAGCAGAGAAGGCAGAGCGGGAAGTTTGGATCAACAAGGACAGGAAGAGGATTCAGGACTCTGTAGACGGTACGGAGGGAAAATCTTTTTAGCTCAAATATGTCTGGTTTGATTCATATGGCATGTGTGAACTTAATTATCATCACCATCAGCCCTCCTGTAAATAGGTGTTACTAGCAAGCAAAGATATGCTCCAGAAGTGCTAGTGTTTAATTTCATTGTTGAGAGAAGTTCATGTACTTCAAAATTAGTTTCTGTGAACTTGACCTCATTGATTATTGTTAACCTTAAAAAATCATCCATGCTGCCTGAAAGTCAGTAGAAGTTGTATTAACATTTGCCAATAAATAGATAATAAATAAACTGGTAACTAAAGGTATTTCAGATGCACATCACCTTGTAACAGGACACTGGAACAAACTGAAGATTTATACAATACATACACATGTAAAATGTCTGAAAACAAAGAAAATAATTTGCAGTGGCCTAACAACATTTCCTTTCTACTTACAGCTCTGCTGAAGATCCGTGATAAGGCTGAGGCAGCAAGGAAAATCCGCGAGGCTAAAGAACGACAGGAGAGGGGAGAACCAGCCGTGCCATATGATGATGAGGGGGATGGAGTCACTCATCAGGAGCAAGAGGAGGGAGAAACCACTCCGGAGCAAAGTGGAGTCACTCCGGATCAAGAGGAGGAAAGAGTCACTCCGGACCGAGGGCAGATGCACAGGCTGGTGATTGAAGACGTTCCCTCATTGGACGATGCACACAGTAGAGAGAATGAAAAGGCTGATCAGGAAAAGATCATCTTGGATGTAAGTGTACATTTTAGATTTTCATTTCAATTAGAAGAAGTTACAATTTTGTTGTTCTTATTGAGTGACTGTTTCCACACAATATAAAGAGTAAGGATAAGTGCACCAAAAACTCAAGCAACTGGATATGATTTGGGAAGTGATCCAGCTGCTTGAGTAACTGTTTTTTGGCATTCTTGTTACCTACCTTCACCGACGTATTAAGGATATAGGTGTATGATAAAGATGCATTTTCTATATACAATATTAGTAAGAATCACTCAAACTTCCCTTCTGTTCATCAGGACCTCCCAGATTTGGAGGACATTGACATCACCGAGGAGGCATCAACCTTTGAACCTCGACCCCGACCTTCCCCTCGACCTTTCATCGAAGTCCTCGGGTCAAGTCAAAGCGCTCCGTCCAAGCCACCTGTGGAAGAACTCAAACCCTCTCCATCTTCTAAACCTCAGATAGAAGAAATTTCTGGCAATACAAGTGACAAGCTCTTTACACCATCCAAGAGGAGGCTTCTGATTGAAGAAATCGGTAGCCAATCAGATGTTAGGAAACCTCTGACTACAGAGGGCAGCAACCAATCACAGCCAAGAAGGCCTCTGATTCAAGAAGTTGGCAGCCAATCAGGCATCAGTAGGTCTCTGATTGAAGAGGTCAGTGCCCAATCACAGCCAAGGAGACCGTTGGTAGAAGAGGCAGGCAGCCAATCAAAAGGAAGGAGATTTTTGATTGAGGAGATCCCCAGCCAATCAGCAAGCACCTTAGAAACTCAGCCAGCTCCAAGACCTGGACAGGACATGAAAGCTAAAACGGGATTGGTTGTGACGAAGAAGCTGATTGAAGAGGTGTCCAATGAGGAGCCAGCTTACACTGACCAGGAAACAAAAGACTACATGAAGAAACTGCAGGAAGAGGAAGCTAAGAACAAAGGTAATAAGTTTTTTTTTCTTTATGTTGAATAAATGAATGAATTATTAATTGGATAAATATTTATTTAGTAAATCAATTGATCCATTACATACATGTATGACTGGATTTTTGAATGACTGGATTTATGAATGAATTGATGGATGAATGAATGCTTGAATGAACCCATTAATCATCAAAAATTAATGAATGTTGAGGGTATGAAGAAATCAATGTACTTATCTACTATGTATGACTAAATGGATCCATGATTGTATGTATGTATGTATGTGATATGTATGTATGCATTGGATGGATGGATGAATGAATGAATGTGGCCTTACAGTTGTCTTTCTTTCACACCACTAAATTTTACATGTTTTTTTTTTCTTTCCAGAGAAGACAGTTGAAGAGAAGATTTGGGAGTTGGCATCGTCTGGTGGGTCTACTGTGGGGAGGAGGACACACAACCCCGCCCCTGGGGATGTCGATACCAACCCTGGGGATCCCATCCCCACCCCTGAGGAGTTTAACCCTGATGAGATTGACTAGAACTTCTATTTCTAGTAGAAGTCTGTTTCCAGACCTACATGCGAAGATTGCAATGTTTTGTACATAACTGTAATATGATAGAGGGTTGTAGCTGTTGTGTTCTAGTTATGTATTATACAGATGCCTTACATGGAACTGCCGATTGGATAGACATCTTTTAAAGTATATACTCCAGTATGTTTGTTTGATCATCATGTATTTATTATATCATGATTGTATTTGTTGAATTGTTGGGGTTTTCAATATAATTCAAGAAATGGGACTCAATGCTTCTGTTTGTTTGTTTTTTGTTTTGTTTTGGTTTGGTGGTGCATGAGTGTGAATTGAATGAATGTCATGATTTGCTTGCCAGGTGCCCAATTGCTGAGAGGAGAAAAGGGAATGGGCAGCTGAAATAAGTTTAGATATTGGGCTTATAAATAATTTGCTAGTTACATGGCATGAATGGAACTAGCAAAGTTACGTTCGCAATTGAATGTCAGCCTCTTGACGAATGGTATAGATTTGCGATATGCTGATAGGTACAGTTAGTAGTGACCCCTTGCAAAAGACTTTGGAAGTGCAGCAGATATTCACAACTTCTACAATCATATCACCACTAAAATCTCTTCTCGAGGCAGGACAATGTTGTCACGTACACGACTTTACCCAACCCTCTGTTCCTTATGGCAGCATGTTGACAGTGGACCGTCCGGTCTTTCACCCCTATAGTACTCTCCAGGCCTACAGGGCCCAGTATTTTTGGAACGTGAATAGGTTATGAATAGAAAAGTTTGAAGCCCCCAGGCTGTAGTATTACATGTTCTCTTTTATGCTATACACAGAATCTGACAATGGTTTTAAAATTGTAATCCTGAGACCACGCACGCCCAATACGCTTTTTTTTTTGATAAAATTTCTTCTGTAAAAACTAAGGTAAAATCAAGAAAAAGGAAGATAAGTCTTGACTTCCTCTTCCTTCGTGTCAACAAAGGTATTGGATTATTTCTAAATATCTCGGTCTCTGATGCTGAAACATGGCTATCTTTTGTCCACGTGAAAGGCCATGATTTTATTCCCACCAATCAGACTGTAGTTATTATGAAGTCTTCTCAACAAACCCGTCCCCACAACACCGCCCGTTACCAGGTCTGGTTAATGCCGAAATTATGAAGTTAAAGTACGTTTTAATTTTCGGAATGGTGGAAAATAACACTGGAGTGATGTTGACTCGACCACGTCCTATTCAGGGCAACAACAATCAGCACTTTGTACCTTACCGTGTGTCCCCACAACACCGCCCGTTACCAGGTCTGCTTAATCGCAAAATGATAACGTCAAAATACTTTTTAATAGGAGGAATGGTGGTAAATACCGCTGGAGTCAAGGGTGTGATGCTGACTTTGCGACAACCTATTCAGGCCAACAACAATCGGCGTTTTGTACCTTCGTGTCTAAAGACCCAGAGAAGTACAGTTCAGAGCGAACCCAACACACCACAGTCTAACTCTGTTCAACGAACGGTAAGGATGTCCAAATTCCTGCTGTTGATCGCGGCTGTGCTCGCCTGGTCGGCCTCGGCACAAGGTAGGTGTGTGGCCTGTTTTAGTAGCTTGTTAATTGGAGATACGGATTTGGAATTCTTTGTTTATTGTGTATTCATTTTCATGCACACTCATGTAAATACACAACAAACTTAAAGTAGTGCGCAAGTCGTGGTATGCTTCAGGGCTCTTAAGGGCTTAAGTAGTAGTACATGTTAGATTCGTTCGGTGTGTGTGTTGGGGGGGGGGGGGGCAATACCAAAGACGCACGCCGTTCATACGTTGAGAAACACGTCTACCAAATTTACCTGCCGAGCTTCACCCAGAGATATGCACAGTGTAAATATGCAGAAGTGCATTTTACTGGGGAACTGTTGTCTACAAAACCATGCGCAGCCACGCATAGGTCACACCTACGTTCTTGGATACATAGAGACTATCCAGAACAGTGCCTGATCCTAACGCTAACCCATTCAGGCATAGAACCAGACAGCCACGGTTCGGGATACACTAGGAGACAAGCATGGTAGATCTGGGAGGCGAATTAATGTGTAACAAGAGTTCCGAGATCTCATACCTCCATGAAATATGGGCTTGATATGTAAATGTAAATTTCTTCTTTAATTACGCAAATGACCTCTGCATTAACATAATGTATGCATCGTGATGTTAACTTTTGATTAACTTAAAGATGTCCCAAGTATGACATTCCCATCATTCACCATTGAGAAATCATAGATTTTTGCATTAATTATGCAAATTAGGTCATCATTTGCATAATTAGTATCTGTTGATGTTCCATCTGCCATAGGTTACATACATTACATGTATGAAAGTTCTATAATGTAAAACACTGTAATTATAGAATTTCCTCATTAATTATGCAAATAAAGTCCTTATTTGCATAATTTGCAGTTAATTATGTACATCTCTCTGTCAGATACCTACACACCAAAAATGATGAAAATACGCTGTTCCTATCTGGACTTATTGGCTTTCAAAGATTTCGCCCGAAAGTCCCCTGCAGTTCCTGAACAAGCTGCTAGGAGGACCAAACCCACACCACTTATTCCTGACATGAAAAGCTATCTGTCACCAAAAATTCAAGACCATAGCATGTTCAGGACCAAAGATACAAAAACCGGAAGTTCTGCTGCAGTACCAAGGTCATCCACCAGGAGACCCATATTTGACCTTGACCTTTGTCTTTCTAAGACTTATCAGCATGCCAAATATCATGGCAATCCATAAAGGTGTTATGAAGTTATGCTGACTACAAAGTTGCGGAAACACACACAGACACACAGACACACACACACACAGACACACACACACACACAGAGACACACAGACAGACGCCGACCAAAAACAATACCTCCTATTTTTCATGGAGGTAACAATGTGTATTGTTAGTTATAAAGCATTTGTATTCTCGCCGGTTCTATCCCCTCCCTTGGGCGGTGCCGCGGTCACCTGTTCGAACACGTGCAAGCGCACGTGCCAACGTCGTGTTCGAACAGGTGATCTATACCGGTACCGTTCGAGGGAAGGGGCTCTAGAACCGGCCGGTTAC